CCTGCTGAGAGTTGGAGTGACTGATGTTGGGTTGGCTTTTTTGGCTGTTGTTTCTCTTTGGAGACTGCGCTCTGTGGAATTGTGGATAGTTTAGTTGTTTTAGCTATTTTAAGTTGTTTTGTAGACTATTTTCTGGACGTTTGACGTGAAGAGATGTTTTGGAGATCATCTTAGATCTTTGGTAGTATTTGGAAGTACTCTGAAGTACTTGAAATTGTTTGAAGTAGCTTTGGAACTCTATTTGAACTTTGGAAACCAGTGGAACTGTTTGAAGACGTTTTTAGGATTTGCGTTTCTTAGTATTTGTCAGAGAAGACGTTTTTGGAAGTCTTGAAGAGACTTGGCAAGTTGGAACTTGAAGAGAAGAAGAACTTCTCTTGACTTTGGCTCAAGTGTGAAAAAGCAGCTGCCACTGCGCTCTTCGTTTTTCACATGGTAGCGGAGCCCTATGGGGCATACGCTTTGAGAGAAACGTGAACTTGAAACTTTGAGAAAGTTTGTGAGTTGTTTCTGAAAGATCTGAGAGATCTGAACGTGTGAGAGAAGAGAAGGAGAAAGATGAGTGCACCTGAAGGGAACTCTGGATTAGGCTTTAGCGCAGGTGTGTCGAACCATAACTCACCTGGACAAGATCCTTTGCAGCAGAATGATCCATGGATTGGATCACGAGCAGATGTGTCAGCCACGTCTTTGTTTGGAAGGCATGGACAAGTAGGCCAAGCTCCTACTGCACCTCCAGGCATACCACAGACTTTTCAGATGAGTAGTGGAAACACGAGCTTTGCTTCAGGATTGTCTTCTCAACCGCCTTCTTCAGGAAATGCCACTTTTGGAGTACCGGTGAATTTATTTGCACATCTTGAACAACAAGGAATGACGGCACCACAGCATGGGTATGATGGGAACAACTTGAACATGCCTTTGATTCCTGGATTGCAGCAAGATGGAGTTTCAGGAAGTCAGCAACCGCCTCAACCAGGGAATGGAAATGGGAATCCAACCGTAGGTTCAAATGGACCTGCAGCACATGCAGCCCCAGCAGCGCCTGCTGCAGTTCCACAACAAGCAGCAGATCCTTGGATGATGCAACTTCTTCAACAGCAGATGGTGTTGAATCAAGCCATAGTGGATCTTATGAATCGTCAGCAACAACCACAAGCACATCCGATGCCAACTGCAGCCGCAGCAGTAGTATCATCACCAGCTCCCAGGGAGGGAAGTATGGATACGAAGTTGGTTCCACCATGCCCCACGGCACCATGGAAGCAATGGACCACTAGGCACAAAGAACTAGTGGGATTTCAGGAGTACGTGGACAAGCTTGTGAGTTGGTTGTCTTTGATTTTTGATTCTTATTCTGCAGAGCTGAGAGAAGTCTTGAGAACCACTGAAACGATTGTTTTGAGGAATGCAGAACAAGGGCAGAGAGCCAGGAGATTGTTTTTCCTTTTGCAACAAGCGTTTAGTGGATATACCAGGATCGAGACCATCATCAAAATCGAGCTGTCAGCCAGAGGTGATTTGAATGGCTATGAGCTACTGCGTTTGCTGAGGAAAGAATTTGCCATTTTTAGCCGGAGTGAGGCGCTCCAATTTAGAGAACAGACGCTTCGGGTACAAATGCGCAAACCATCCATTGACAACATCATGGAGGTTATGAGAGAGGTTCAAACAAATGTGGAAGGATATCACAAGATGCTGGAAAACAGTGTAGTATATCCCCAGTTGATGGACCTTCGAATTTCGGATGGAGATTTGTTCCTCCTGCTGTTGAGAAATCTGCCAGATAGAGTGGCACAGCATGCTCAATTGATCATGGGAGCCAGCAACTCCAACCAGCTGATCAATGCAGCCACGCAATTTTACATGTCTCGTGCCAGTGCAGTGAATGAGGCAAGAGCTTCAACAGTCACACCGGGAAACAAAGGGTGCTTCAATTGTGGATCCCCCGACCATCGTGCAGCCGATTGTCCACATCCTGTCAAGTGCAAACATTGTGGCAAGACTGGGCATAAATCTTCAGAGTGTTGGGCCAAACACCCAGAGTTGAAGCCCAAGGCAAAAGCAGCCAGCAAGCCACAGGCCAAACCGACAGCCAAGCCTCCAGCCAAGAAAGGCAAGGGTAAGGGCAAAGGAAAAGGAAAAGGCAAAGGCAAGGGTGGCAAGGTTCGAGAAGTTGCAGATGGAGAAGAGGCAGAAGAGGAAGATTTTTTGAGGAAGAAGACGTTCATGAACCAGAGGCAGAGGGTAACACTTCCCTCACCATGATGATTGGACCTGAACATGTACTGAGCGCGGCCTTCGATGATCAGAGCTGGCTAGTTGATTCAGGTGCCACGTGCCACATTCTGAGTGAGCGATCGGTATCCAAGTATCAGATTTTGCGCAGCTATTCAGAAACCCCAACTCTCAAGGGTGCAGGAAATCATCCCATTCCAACCACCAGAATGGTGGATCTGGAATTCTCCGTCCGAGGCATCAAGGTTACCATGACCAAGGTAGTTGTAGCGGCCATTGACTTGAATGTCATTTCAACGTATGCTCTTTCTGAAGTAGGTTGGAAAACCATTCTTGGAACTCCAAAGGAGTCATGTTTGAGCTTTTATCAAAGGGAAACCAAGACCACAGTAAAATTTCCTCTTCATGTGAGTGATCGATCGTGGTGGTTGAAAGTAGGTTTTACCAAGAGGCCAGTAGGAGAGAAGAAGAAGAGTCAGAAGAAGAAGAACCAAGGACCAGTTCCCATGGATTTGAGTGCTGTGAAACCGGTGAGTGCCAGCAATGAAAAATCAGTAGAGGTTACTGTCCCGTTGTCCAAGGAGCTGGGTACCAAGGATCTTACTAAGGAATCCACTGAGGTACCTTTATCTTCTTCAAGCCTGGAACCTACACATTCAAGCCACCGTTTGAAACCATGCAAGTCCAGTTCATACAGAAAGACTGCATTTCAAAACAGAGAGGAAGTGGTAGGATCCTTTTCATACGTTTGCCGCATGTTTGCATTTGGGAGTGCACATTTCCTTGATGACCGTTCTGACTTTGAACATGAGCCCAATCTTGAAACATTGGCTGAACTTGAGGACTCAGGGATTGAGGATTCTCAGGTATCAGTTTTGTCCAATGAGGATGCATTCTGGGATTGTCATTCAGGGTTTTCACAGGATTTGCATGTTGATGTGCATTCAAACTCTGTTGGTTGTGACATTGCAAACAACTCTGACTGTGAGAGCTGTTGTGAGGACAGGTATCGTGAAATCACTACCGTGTCACCCAATGGAACGGTTGAACATTTCATGATGGATATGTTTCGAGGGATTCATCATGAGCAGTTACGTGGTTTTCCTCAACAAGTTGATGTCAGTGATGATGAGGGTATGGATGAGGATGGTTATCCTAGGTTACCTTCGGACAATGATGATGGGTATTCCCTTCCCACACCAGTTGATTCACCACGTGATGGCCAGGAAATTGAGGTACCAGCCCCTGTTGGAATTGATGAACCTGAAGGGATTGAGGGTTCTGATTTTGAGGTTGATGTACCACCACTTCAAGCACTTGACTTGTTTGAGCACCAGTCCCATGGACATTTTCCTTTTGATAAAGGTTGTGACGCTTGCATTCAGGGTCGTGGACGTACACCTGCAAGGCGCCGTGCTCATAAAGGTGGGCCTGGATCATCCAACTGTGATCTTGCTGCAAACTTCATGTACATTGCAAACAAAAGATGGAAGATTCTTGTTCTCCTTTTGTTGCAAACTGGTATCATGGGAGCCGTCATCATGACTGGAAGTCGAGAGAACGACCAGAAGGCCACTGTCTCAGTTTTGGGAGAGATGGGCATTGGAGGTCAATCCGTGGAACTCATTACCGACAATGAAGATTCATTGAGAAATCACATGAGAGCATCTTTGCAGAGGTCAGATTGTAGGAGCTTTCATCCCAGAAACATTTCAGAGTACCGTCCCCAAGCCAAGTGCATGGAACGATCCATTTGCATCATGAAGGAAGGATTGTTCACCAACTGGATTGCTCTTGAAGGCCAGCTGAGAGCACGTCTGGCACTTGAGAGTCCTTTGTTTGGATTTCTGGTGGGGTACGTGTACAGAACCCATAATGCGTTTTGCACAAAGATCAAAGGTGGAACTCCTTTGGAGGCCATGAGAAAGAGAAGGGGTGGACAGAAGCCACGATCATTTCCTTTTGGCATTTTGGGGTATGCAAAACCGGTGCATTCGACCCTTTGGCCAACGCATAGGTTGATACCTTGTGCCTATCTTGGGATGCGCTTTTCCACAGGAGGTGGTTGTCTGGTGTATCCATTGATTCCTGACAAGGATGGCACTCAGGAGGTGATCAAGGCACACACATTTAGAGTGAGTTGTTGCTTATTCGTCCCTCAATCAAGCTCACAGTGAGCACAAAAAGTTTGGCAAATGTTGCACCTCAGATCGCGCCTTTTTGTGATTGGGGTTGGCCACGTTTGAGTCCTTCAAGAATGGACAGACGAGCACGTGGACATAAAACACTCTGGCACACTGCACAGGGAAAAAAATCACAACTGCACACTGCCTGGTTGCGATGCACGTGCTGGCCACACCCCGCGGCCTCACGGTGTGGGTGGGGGGGCCTTCGTGAGGCCATGGTCGCATAGACCCGTGTCACATTGACACGCCCACCACTACCCTTCCCTTTGAACCATGATTTCGGGATCGTGAACATCTTCACTGCTTCATTGCAACAATGCCTTATCAGCACTTTGTTTCTGATAATTGGCTTGTTGCTTATTCGTCCCTCAATCAAGCTCACAGTGAGCACAAAAAGTTTGGCAAATGTTGCACCTCAGATCGCGCCTTTTTGTGATTGGGGTTGGCCACGTTTGAGTCCTTCAAGAATGGACAGACGAGCACGTGGACATAAAACACTCTGGCACACTGCACAGAGAAAAAAAATCACAACTGCACACTGCCTGGTTGCGATGCACGTGCTGGCCACACCCGCCTTTAATCACCTTCACGTGCAATGCCAAAGATCTTCCTGTACTGGTTCCAAGGGATAAGAACCTGCCTGTGCCCGTCTGTTAAGAGCTTTCGAAACTGCAGCCTCGAAGGTTCGTCTGCCGGATTACTGGCCGACGGCACCCTTGAGACCCAAAGGAACAAGGAGGAACCACACAGAATGTCACTTAAGTGCTGTAGTAACAGTTTGTGCGACTCAACAGACGAATTTTGTGAAATCAAACATGCTCTCGCAGCTTCATTGTCGACGTAGAGAAAAGATCTGCCCGTGTGATGCTGCAAACTCAAAACCTGCACTGCTAACACCGCTGCCATGAGTTCCAACGATGAAATGATTTTGCTCGTGCTCTTTTGCATGGCGTTCAGAATATCTGGCGGCAAGACTTCGCTGAAAAAATATTTGGCAACAACAGTGGAGCCCTCAATCCATAGTGCAACCATGCCAATACTTGCAAATGTGTCATTTTCTTCCAAAGCAGCATCAGTGAATATCACCAGGCGGCGGTCGCTCATCCAGCACCTGAGGGTTCTGGGGACAGAGGTCAGCAAAAATTTCTTCGCCCAGATCAGCTCCTCCTGCATCTGCGCACTGATATGTTTGCCCGACAAGCTTCCACAAGCTCGTGCATTGACGGTCTTCATGCGCAGGCCGACCGCACGTCCAAAAGTTTGCGATTCTGCAAACTGAAGTCGGCCGCGCATTGCAGCCGCTTCGCCCTCAGACAAGGCCCCTTCTGCAAGGTGCTTGTCAATATCTGCGACTATCTGCTCGATGCGTGAAACTTTGTTCTTGACTTTGATGACGCCCTCAATGGACTGCGAAAGGTCAAACTCAACGCCCAAAGCAACAAATTCCTTGGATAGCTCCAGCCTCTTTGTCTCCTTAACCGAATATTTCCAGCCTATGAGGTCCATCAACTTCTCGGCAGTGCGTTGGGCGTGGTCACCCCCCGCCATGACGTCCAGCTCTGTGAAGTCGTCGTAGAAGTGAGTCCAAGTCAGCCCAAAAAGTCGGCTGCCGATTGTCAAGATTGCTCGAGCGATTCGGTTAAATCCAAAAACTGCAGCAGAGGCTCCAAATGGGAGCACATGGCCCAAGAAGAAACGCTTGACACCAGAGCTGTCTGTAACTGCAAGCACATTCGCCCACAGAGAGCTGCGTGCCACCAGAACTTGTTTATATGCTGCCTCGAGATCCAAGGTCCGCCCGCCAATTGTGCGAGCTTCTGCCACCGAAAAGGTGGGGTGCAGCTGGCCCTCGAGCAGGGACCCATCACTCAGCTTGAACTGGACAGTACGATCATCTTGCACTGCCTCTACCAGGGACCTGGCCAAGACACTGATGCCATCCACACCAGCCAACTCCAAATGGTAGCTGGAACCAAATGCCGAGTTAACAAGGCTTTCACTCATGTTGTCAATCTGTCGTATTTTGTCGCTTTGGTGCAGGCCAAAACGACGTGAAGCAACGAAAAGAGGACCCACACGCTGTTCGACTTCAGTCTCAGTGAGGGGGCCCTCCAACCAGCCTTTCTCGACCTCTTCCAAAGTGAGGTCCCATACTGCTTGGCGCAAGTCTTCGGAACCTTCCCTGCTGCTGCCGGCGATCATTCTCCGGCTCCAGCGGGAAGACTTCATAAGCTGCTCTACTGTCAGAGCCGGCATCACTGGATGCTCTTCAAACTGGCCAGTCCAGTCTGCTGTCCCCACCAGCGGGACCCCCACTAATTGCAGATGACGTAGGGAGGCATCCTCCACGCCCGCGTCCCTGCAAAGTTCATTGAACAACAGGAACTTCTTGTCTGCAACTATGGCTTGCCTCACCGGCTCCAACTGGTTATGCAACAACCGTTCAGCGGTTGCGAGCTCTTCCAAACGCTGCTCATAATATTCAAATTGTTGTGCACAGCGTTGCTCTCTTGCCTTCAACCCGTTGGTCAGCAGAAAAAACATGTTCTTTTTGGCGTCATCATCTACACTCCCGGAGCCATCAAATGGATGTTGTACTTGACAGGCGGCTTCTACAAATTGGGCTGGAGATCGCAAAATGCCAATTTCTGCTATATGAACTCCTCCAGGTCCTTTCCCCTCTTCTAGTTTGAGGAGTTTGGAAGGCATCGGCACACCGAGCAGGCGACATTCGTCTGCGGACAGCAAACTCTTTGGTGGTGTTTTGACCGTTGATGTGGTGGCAACCATTTTCTTTTCCAAGAATTCAGGGATTATCATAGGGAACTTCTCACCACGAGGCTGCCGGCCAGCTGCTGCCATGGTGGCCTGGGTCTTGCGCACTTTGCGCTTTGGCTCATCAACGGCCAAAGTCTGGACGCCTGCTCGATGAGCAAAGTCAATAAGTTGGTCGGCCACTTTCATGCACATCTGCGGCGGGTATGCTGTATCCAGCATGTTTTTCAACTTGCGGTGGCCAAGGCGCTTGGCATGTGTGCGGGTGCCTGGGCAGGAGCCATGTAAACAGTCGAAAATGTCGGAGTTGACATACCAGGTGATCCACTCGTTACTGGAGCCTCCCCAAAAACAAGGTTGGAAATGCACTGGGTGAAAACAACCAGTCTCAGACAGGGACCTCAGCCATGGTGTGTCCCAGAAATAAGAATTCTTGAGGCACTCAATTGAAACGACCAACTTGCCCTTGTTTGCCAGTTTAGCCAGACGACAAATATTGCAAAAAATTGAGTTTGCAGTGTCCACGCGCCGCTGTTCGGCGTGTGGCAAATCTGGAAGGCCTTGGGGATATTCTTTGCTGCGAAAAACTGTACGCTGCAAATGCTGAGCTAATTTTGGACAAAACGATCTTTGGCGCACTTTCTTTGTGGTCCCGAAAGGCGGGGACGCATGCAAGAACAATACACTACCAGGAACTGTCAGAAGGTGTGCTACGTATTGGTAGCCTTCTTCACTCGCCAGGTCAACATGCACACATGGGTGAAACTCTTTGCGCTTTCGTTTCAGCATATCCACTGCGATGCCCTTGAAACCTTTGGAAACTAGAGTTGCTGTCAGCAACGCTGAACCTGCACAAAGTTCAATGCAAAGCAAGGACGACAATGGAGCTCCTGTGAAGTTTCCAAGAACTCGCTTGTAGCCTGCTTTCTGCGGGCTTTGTCAGGGGTTCGCTTTTCCATGTTGCCTCTGTGAGTGAGGCTGCTGACATTTCGTGCAGACATGTAGTCCCTTGCCGCAGCGGCCTCCCGGAGAGGCTTTGTCGCATCCTCCCAGGTTGTAAGAGAAACATATTGGTTCATTCTCTGCAGTCATTGCCGATTGGCCTAGTAACTCATGTGGCATTTTGACTGAAGGGTTGTTCTGGCCGCGCCCACTTCTGCCTCTTCCGCGGCCGCGACCACCACCTTTGGACATGTTGCGGATGCGACCCTGCAGATTTGCCACTTGTCGCTGCAGTCTAATGACATCAGGAGGCTCAGAATCCAGACGAGGTGCTGCAGGTTTCGGCCGCTCGCTTCCATCATCGTCACGCGGCCGCTTTGAGCCTGAGCCACTTGAGCTAGGCAGCGGCTGCAGATGCAACCTGATCTCCGGCGCAGTGAGTGCACGTCTGATGGCTTCTTCCAGAGGGTTCAATTGACCGTTGAAGCGGATGCCATTTCGTGTCTCTTTCATCAGGTACTTGAACATCTCGATGTCTGCATGCTGGACCTGCTCGATGCTCACTTTCTTGTAGCATTCTGGAGGTGAAGCTGTGTAAGCTTCCAAGAGGATCTGGGTCCATTTTTCAAAACGGTCATAATCAACCAAGCGAGCTTGATCGAATGCCAAGCTTCTTCTTTGAAGTGCGAACCTGAGTTTCAAGTCGGTGCTGACATCTGCCTTCAGCTCTTCACGTACCCTTGTTTCGCGAATGACACCGTTTGAGTCAGGTTTCCAAGTAGGATCCACTTTCAAACCCATCAGCTCTTGGTCACGTTTTGTGCATTGCTCCCAACGCACATATTTCAACTGGTTGTCCTCCATCATCTGGAAGATGGCGTCCACCAGTGTGTGGCTTGGCTCCATTTCGCCGGTCAAATCAAGACCGGTGAGGCGAGCGGCCTGTGACGAATGCCTTTCGGCACGCTCAGCTTGGGTCAGCTTTCGGGGACCATCGTCCTCCTTCCGCTCCATTCGTGTTCTCAATTCAGCAGCGGCCAAGGTATACGACTCAAAGACTAGTCTTCGCACCAGAGGCAATCTGTCAGCTGGCGGCGGCGTTCGCCCAGTGATGGCTGCAGCAAGTTCCAACACCGGTCTTTCGTCCGCCTGGCCCGGTGTGTAATTGCTTGCAAATGCAAGCTTGCCATAAGTAGACCACCCTAGGCGCGTGATGGTGGCGATCTCATCGCGCGTGAGCCCGATTTCCAAGGCCCGGCTTGCAAACACAGCCTCAGAATCCAACATTTCTGTTGCTTGAGAGGAAGAGCTGAGAAGGAGTATCAGAATGACTAAAGGTCCGGCAATGCAGGGGACATGTCAGCTTTCAAGCAGGAAAAGAAGTAAAAAAAACACGAAAACAAAAACAGCTGCTAACTGCATGCCAAGAGATTCACGATGTGCAAGAATTGTCTGCTTTTGTGCAGGCATGAGTACTCTCACTTCAGTTCAAGGTGTGCAAACTCTCACTCATACTTTATGAGTGCATACGACATGATGGGTACACACATTACATGGCGTGACTTTCACGCAGCCTGGCCTTCTTGTGCACACTGCTGTGGTCCGGAGGCTGACCCACATTGGGCATGGCCTCGCAAGTGAACACATCACCGTGTCATCCCCTTTCCCAGTGAGAAAAACCAAGCAGTAAGGTCACAGCGAAAAGGGGGGACACAACAACAACATGCGCGAACTTTTCCTTTACTCAAGTGCCAAAGCACAAACGACACTTCGGCCAAGCTCTGTCGACATCCTGTGTGTACAGAGTATACCCATCCGAAACAACACGTCCACAACTTGTCTTGTGCATGTCATATATGTGCGCATAGTGCAACATCTTGGTCCGAACATTGCGAAAAACCCGCGTGTCATCTGCGAACTCACTGACTGATCGCACATCCCCAAAGAGCGCGTTCTCAACATGTGCCATGCTTTCTTCGCATGACGTGCTGCCCGAGTCACTTGTGCTATCACTATCAGAGAGGTCCGGGTCTGACTGTTGGTTCTCTTCTGGTGCTTCCGATGGTTCATACTGATTCCGATCCATACTGAGACGACCCTGCAAACGTTCTATCTGTTCCGCCACCACAAACGCTTCAGGACTGTCTGGCTCACATTCACTCAGCTGTCTGCATGCTTCTGAAACAGAGTGTCCGGTTTCAGCTTCAAACTGCATCCATGCACTAACTGCTTCATCCGCCGGAACAACCCTTCGATCACGCGGGTTGTCCGGGCAGAATAGCCCATTGCTTATGTCAAGCAGCATGGCAGTAAGTGAATTTATGGGTTGTGACAGTGCATCCCTGGCGTAGTTCAAGGCTGAACTGTGGCCCTTGACCACATGGTAGCCCAGAAGTTCGTTGTGCTCAAAGGGAATTCCAAACATGTTGGTGAACGTTAGCAAGGTACACTTCAAGCTGTGTGAGGTGTGGTCGTCTCGAATATGGTTCGGCAGCAACTTGGCCAAGCACTCTGCCAGTCGTTCTGACAACTCAGCAGACCCTATGCCTTCTTGGATGTCAGCCGAGAGTGTTCTCATTGAAGGAAATAACACAAACTCGTTCTCTGTGTTGTGTGGCGCTTGTTCTGGAATGTCTTCAAGGCATAGCTTTCTTCGTGCCCCAAGGAAAGCTTGGAACCAAGCCAACCCCGACAGCCCCTGTGTCGGTATCACAACTGGCAAGAAGCGCGTCTGCTTCTCCAGCGTGCGTGACGTTTTTGTTCTGCACAAGCTTCCTTCGAAGAAACTTCCTTGCACCTGTCCGTGACTTATCCTATTGCAGTCACTAGTTCTCAGCCTCCCGTACAATGCGAACAGACAGAGCCCGGCGCAGGCTTGCATGTAAACATCCTTGTCAAAACAACTGCAAAGTTCTAAACAGAAAATGGCCACGACTTTCAAAGGCGGGGCTTGGCGCAAAACTCTCTTCCTAAGGAAACTGAGGTGCGCGGAGCCCAGCACGCGGTTTGAACTCGCCGCGTCTTCGGCTCCTGGCCAGCCAAGCTCAGCTGCGACAAACTTCAAAGTACTGACAAAGGTCTGTGCCCTCGTGGGAGGTTTGCCGGTCTCTCGAATATTGTCTACGTAAGCGTACACCACATCTTCTTGAATCGGAAGGACCAGCCTGTCAGGAAAATGTTTCTGTGAAAAAGCAACAAACAAGGCGAATGATCCGGCTCTGGTCATGAGAGTCGATGTGGACTTCTTGGCAAACCAGTCCTCTAGCAATCGACAAACTGAAAAGGTACTCTCGTCCTTGACACTATCCGAAATCAGGAGCTGTCCTAAACGCGACTGGACAGGGTAGAGCAGAATCAATTGCAGCCATTTGTTCAACGCTTCTTGCCGCTTTGGATTACCACCTCCAGCCTTCTGTTCGTAGAATTTTCGTTGCGCGATGCATTTTTTCTCATGCAAGCTTTCCACAGGTCTACCTATGCAAATAGGTACAGCAGTGAGATTTCTGGGAATAACAGGAGATGACAGCCAAGAGCATTCAGGCGATAACACATCATTTGCAAAACCAACTTCCCATGGCAGCTTCGGAAAACCTACGATCCTATCACCGATCGCCATGGCTCGATCTAAACATGCTTCGACCCCACGAGAACTTTGGGAAACTTGATCAGGGGCAGGCACATCGCCTGTGAAATCACAAAACCCCCGTTTCCTTCGTGAGGCCATGGTCGCATAGACCCGTGTCACATTGACACGCCCACCACTACCCTTCCCTTTGAACCATGATTTCGGGATCGTGAACATCTTCACTGCTTCATTGCAACAATGCCTTATCAGCACTTTGTTTCTGATAATTGGCAGAAAAGGAACCGCTCTATGAGATAGATCCACTCTGGTCTCTAATGGCAGGTGTGAAGCCTGAAGGTGGTTTTGAAACCCCAGTACACGACCCAATGGTACCAAGGGAAGATCCATCAGGTGCAAGACCCTCAGAACCAGCAGAACCACCGACCTCTCTGGAGGATCAACCAATTCCAAACGATCAAGATGATTTTGGGGATGACATGGATGTTGATGAAGATCCCATGGAACCTATGACTTTGGATCAGATCATCTATGATTATCATTCAGACATTTGGAATGAGTTTTGTTCAAAGGTTGATGACATTGACGTTCAAAGTACTGGGACTTGGATCAACATGCCTTTTGGAGGTTTGGACGTAGATATCCATGTTGCTCAGGAAAACTTTGATGAACTCACTGGACTATCATTGGACCATGTGCAGACTGTCAAAGGAGTTCAAACAGAAGTCAAAGGCCTTGAGGAACTTGAAGTAGGAACATGTATGACTGAGGCTGATGCACGTCGTACAGCTAAGGAACGTAAAGTGTCCTTGCTCAGTTCCAGGTGGGTACGTGCTCAAAAGACCAAAGACATCGTAAGATGTAGGCTTGTTGTGAGAAATTTTGCAAGTGGCGCTGAAAGTGCCTTCAGGTCAGGCATATACGCCCCCACCAGTTCATTGGATTCATTGCGTGCAGTTTTAGCATACACGGTGATCATGAACCATTTTCTATTAGCTGCTGATGTGAGCGTTGCGTTTATGAACGCACCTGTCGAGGACTCAGCTTGTGATTTGGTGTTGATGCCACCTGACATGACATACCGTGGGCAGAGAATTGCCTATTGGCTAAAGAAAGCAATGAACGGCCTTCGAAGAGCCCCTTTGTTATGGTTTTTGCAACTTCGAATTCCGGTGGCTAAGGGCACTCGGCATGGGTTCATGTTTGCAATTCGCCGAATGGCATCTGCCGATGTGCTCGTGGCAACATGGTAGACACCTCTCACGTCCCACTCGATGTGCCGGGTGTCGTTGAGGTCCTCAGCCAGTCCGGAGAAGTCGGCGCCCTTATCGCGAGTAGCAATGTCCTTCACCAAGTCCGGGAAAAAGGTCTGGGTGATGCCAGCAGGTAAAAATGCAAAGTCAACGTGCTTCGGATGTGCTTTGCGAAGGGTCGCGGACTCGTGCGATTCCTTGTCAGCACTGTTGGCCTTATGGAGATGCTTGCCGAGCAAGAGACCGACCATGACCGCATGTTTTCTGCCTCCCACTTCGCCTTTGTGTCGCATGACAAATGCGAGGGCATCTCCTGTGTCAGGAATTTGCGCGTGCTTGCATCCATCGGTATCTGTGACCATATCGGCGAAAGTTCCTGTGGGGACAGGTGGGGACCAAAACCGAATATGTGATGCGGGCAATTGTGGGCTGTGGTGAGCCGGAAAGTATTAATACCACCAGCACCGAGACGAAGCAAGTCAATGTGGAATGACGTCATTGGTCGTTGCCCTATCGTTGGCATCCATACATACTCTGCGGTATCTATCCTCGTCCCATTCCGTCGAGGTTGCGATTTGCGGCAGGTAATAGTTAAGCACGTATACCAGGACCGGCAAATTTAGTTTGCTCAGAAAACCATGCAGAAAAGGTGTGACGTCCTCCACGGCATTGCGGTTAAACACGACCACCACCCCTTCGATGAGTTTCTGGGCGATCTGGGCTGCGGTGACCAGGTTTGCATCAACTCTGTTTGCTGTGTCATAAACTCCTGAATCCCGTTGTCCCTTCCATTCCTTCTGCATAGGAGCATATGCTTCAGGATCATTCATCATTTCCTTTCTACCAACAGGACGTGATACAGCTGCATTGAATCCCATTACAGTGGTATCACCAGTGACGAGATCCCGATGTCGTTGTTCACAACTAGGAATGCATGGCATCAACGGAAATCTTTCAGTACTCCCCATGTTGTTGCCACTTTGCTTGATGAACTGCGCTACAGAGGCTATCTTCTCATCATCATTTCCTCTGAGTTCTTCAAGATACTCAATGCTCTCCCAGCTCGCCATCGGTCCTGTTCCACGTTCCACTTCAGACCAGTCGTCCCACTCGTCGATGAACTCGTTGTCACTCGGACATGTAGTTGATCTTCTCGATGAAGTAGGACTTGATGCTGACATGCCATAGACGGATTCACTGTCAGAGTTACCATCAGTCTTTTGGATGGAGTGTGTATCACTACCACCCTTGAATGACTTCTTGTTGACATACTTGATCTGATCACAATCAGTGTTCTTCGATTCCTCATTGGCGGCGGGAGCGATGTCTTCGGCATCATGTTCATCAGCATTGTCATCATCTTTTCCTGATTTCAAATTTGCTCTCCTTCTCTGCTTTCTTCTTCTTCTCCTTGAGAGATGGTTTTGGTTTCGCAGGACTATCTCCAGATGGTTTAACCTTCTTTTCCTTGGATATCACCTTTTCTAGCTCCTTGTCGAAATCTTCCGAGAACTTCTTCTTCATCCTCTCGGCCTCCTTCTTCTTTTCCAAGCTCGACTTGAAATCGTCTCTCTTCTTCTTTGATAGTGATCTCCAAGACTCCGGATCCATCCCTGCAGGACGAGGTGAACCAAACATGAGTTTTCTGCCGTCATCACCGACTCGATATGGTCTTCCCATCTTGTCGATCTTTACTTACCTTTTCACCGATGTCGTTCAAGTAGATGACGCCATCATTTGGTTTACCTCCTTCTCCCTCCAGATAATGCAGTATCTTAGGCTTCTTGTCATCTTTCTTAACCATAGTCGATTCCCCAGGAGGAGGCGGATCGCCATCCTCCGGACCATCACCCGCATCATCATCATCGTCTTGATCATCGTCACCGATCTCTGCGACGTCGTCATCGATTTCAGCGGCCCTTCCAAAACGATCCTTGTCTTCCAAACCTTTCAGTGTGGAGTTCATTTCTTCGTATCTTTACCTTGCAGGGAAAAGTAATTGGAACCGAAGTACAACCTTCTGAGTTAGATGTGGTCGTCTGAGTTTATCACGTGGTCTTTCTGCATCATATGCGAGATTCTGCTTGACGAAGTCATCCAGTGCCCACACTCGATACTGACCTGTCCACTTGAAACCAACTCCTATCTCGTAACCGGAGAACACTCCAGGAATCGAATCAGGATCAAACTTGTGTCCTTGAGGATTCACCCTCGCACCACTTGGCTTGAATGAAACAAGAGCTCCCAAAGGTATGGCTTCCCCATTGAACTCCTTGCCAGTAAGCTTTGTCCATGCACTCAGGTCATCACCTAGAGGTTCGATGTTCAGCAAGTGGCAAACACATTCAATGGCTGCTCGCCAAAAACACAGTGGTAGTCCAGCTTGTAGCAGGCAAGCAGTGGTGGTAGTGATGATAAACTGATTATTTCTTTCAGCCAACGAATTTGACTGAGCTCGCCCAGGAAGTGAATGATCATATGGGATCTTCAACTCCTTCATTGCCTTCTCGTATTGAGGTGCTAGATCGCCATATGCCTCACGAATGATGTGTCTTCCCATGAATCTCTTGACAGCAGTTACCACATCTTCGGTTGATTTGTTGGCAGATGGATATGCTGCTATCATGCCAGTGAATCGATCTCTCACAACAAGCACTTCTCGTTCGATCATGCTGGCATCATCTCTTACTTGACGAGTGTCGACGTAGTCAAAGGTAATCAGGTCGCCGAATTTCTTGAGTTTGCGTCGAAAGGCTCCACGGAATGTCTTGAAGTGTTTCATCTTCGCCCTCACACATGCATCGCAATAGGGGTTCTTGTATCGATGGGTTAGAAGATGACTGATGTGCTTAGCCTCTATCTTCAATGTTCCTCTCTTTCGAAGGTTAGGAGGCCCATCTTCATCTGCTACATTGACATCATCATCGTCTTTCTCATCTTCACGAGGTGGGGCAGGAGGTACTCCTTCAAGATCATCGAGATCAGGACCATAGTCCAAATCATCATCTCCTCCTTCAAGATCAAGTGGCATGTTAAACTCAACTCATGTTCAATCTCACCAGGAGTGGCCTTTGATTTTCTGTTCCGTGTGGATCTCCTCTTTGATCGACGTCCATCCATTACCTCATGGTACATTTCGTCACCACTTTCCCCATCCAGGTAGACTACGGACGAAGTCCTGCAATCACCCTTCCGGATCAACGAATGGATACTCGATGCGAAATCACACTTGTGTGGTGCACAATCCTGGGATCCCAAATGGATGTAGGGGATGAATTCCTTCACGATCACGTTCACTCTCTTTCCATTGCTGTCAATCATGAAAGGTTCACCACCGCCACCAACCAAATGAGTATCCCTCCAACGTGCACCTCTTCCCCATAGACATGACCGATGGTGTGTGATCGAGTACTTGCGCAACCGCTTTGTTCTCCAATGATCCCATGTCAATCTCCACCACATGGTCCGCAATGGTGATGCCGTTCGCGGTGTGGAAGGTGATTGGTTATCTCTAGATCCATACGGTTCACTTTCCTCCTCGAAATGAGATCATGACCACTTCCAGGGACCCATAATGAATCTCTTGTCCTTCTCCTCAACGGGTACAGTGATGCACATGACATTCTCCTTGTTCTGACCCGTTCGATCAACGTGGGGAACGGGCTCTTCAATCACGAACTTGTCATTGCCATCTTGGTCATCTTCAGCATCAATCAAATGAAGTTTTGAGTCATAGTTGGGACCAACCACGATGATAACCTCGTCGATCAAGTGATGTTGATATTGATCCATCAAACTCTTGTCCATCATGAAGATACCTTTCAAGATCAAGCTTCCTTACTGGATGCTTTCTTTCCTTGTTCACGGTGAACTCCCCAAAGTTCTTGGGATCGTCAAAGTACTTGTGGATGATCTCCTTCTTGGCGAATGACACGCTTTTCTTCTCCTCGACAGACATGCATGACCTGACGAACTGATCTTCATCCTCCGAATCTGACCATGACGTCAAGGCCAGAGTGGCCTTGGGCTTACTCTTCGCTTTTGCACCTTTGAGCTTCTGGTCGTGCTTGTACCGGCACGTGTCCCCATGTTTACATGATCCATTCTGCATCCACATGATGCAATTGCCACCTTGCTTCCCTGGGGAAGCTGTTCTTCCTTGCTTCTTATTCTTGTCACGACCTGATCCACTTCCACCACCACCGCTTGATCCACTTCCTCGTCTGCTGTTCCTAGATGATCCTCTTTTATCTTTCTTCCACTTCTTCCACTCTTCATGAACAGCATCCGAATGGCTGAATTCACATTTGCTCCCGGCGGTGCCATTCTTCTTCTGGAAGTGAAAGTAGCATGGCGTCTGGGACTTACTTCTCTTTGTACTATTGCCACCCTTTGGTCGATTGGAATTCGTTCTCTTATCCTTGTTATGTTGCTTCGGTGGCGGAGTGGGAATGATAGGCGCAGCTTCTGCTTTTGGTGAAGCCGCTGTCTTGGGATCCTTATCTTTCTCTTTGGCGACGCCGATCCTCCAGGATCAGTATCAGCGGCGGCAGGAGCACTGGGCTTACCCGTGAGGTCGGAAATGTGCTTTTCCCATTCGTTCATATTCTTCGTTTCAGATTGACGGGCGGCTGGCTCGCCTTCCCTGCTTGCCTCGTACATTTTGATGTCCCATTCCATCAACTTCGAGTGGTGGATCTTCTTGTACAGACAGTCCCTCAAAGTCTTCTTGGGTTGGTGATCTTCATCGCAATATTATCCAGGATCTTGAGCCACAAGTTCCAAAACTTTCCACGGCGCTGGTCACCAGGATACTTGAGCGCATACAAGTTGGCAGCGCTATACATCAGGTTGTCCTGATTGGTAGTCTTGAATCCCTGCAAGATCATGGCGGGAATTCAGGGCCTAGGACAAAGTCATTGTCCTTACCACGCTCAAGTTTGAGGTTCCTCACCCTATAGGCCACCTCCTTGGCCGCATCTCCACCACTTTCGATACACTTATTGAGTGCGATAGCCGCCTGAGGACCTCTGAGCGTCCATATTCGGTTTCTCCACCATTGCCTTCCCGATCCATTCCTTCCATGTCGAGATGTCTCCATCTGCAGCTGCTGCAGTCACGATTTGAACAACTTCACCTCTCCATGTCAGGATGTTGGTCATCTTGGGCCATGCAATGGGGCCTAACTTGACAGGTTCCTTCCTAGCCACCTTCAAGTTGCGAGTGATATCCGTGATGTCGATGGCAGGCTCCTTAGTTGGTCTCCGATCTTCTTCACGGGGTCCACGACGATCATCATCATCATCTTCTTTCTTGTCTGCCTCGTTCGATGCATTCCAACATCTCGTTCCGTTCATATAGCTGTTGGATCTCGTCCTACTGTTTCTCACTCTCTTTCTGCTTCTCGTTCAAATCTCTTTGTAAATCCTCAATTTGTTTCACCAGCTTATCTGCCACCGAGACGTTTGGTCAGGCCCTTCTCGCGGTCAGTCAAGTTGTCCATTAATGAAGGTCCAAAGGTATCCGACAATGCAACCTCACAGTGCTTTCTAGCGATTCCAGGAATCAGTGGTGACATCCAGAAACGAGCCACGTTTTCATCCATAGTAGGCGTACTGATGACTCTCGAAGAGAGATCATCAATCTTAACCTTCAACTTCTCGATCTCATGCAGGGCGGCACTCAGCGAGTTCTCCAAGTCAAGGATGAGTAGGTCTTTCATCTTGATCTGGTCATTCAATGTCCTCATCCTCTGCTCCATCTGTGCGTTGGGTGAATTTGGGGTCATAGACGATGCAGATAGTTCAGTACGTAGGTGATCTCGTTCTACGGCAATCTCGGCTTCGATCTGCATTATCTCCGATTTCTCTGTCAAGGCTTCATCCGCCTTCGCATAGTTCTTCCTTTCCACAGATGCTCGCAAGTTTGATAGCACATCTGCGTCATGATGTCTGGCCTTCTGCCTACTAATCTTCATGATTTCAAGGTTAAACTGAGCTTCATTCGTCAAGTTTGCTCTCCTTGCTTCTGCCACTTCACAAGCTGCATGCTGTAGTAGGCTATCTTTACTCTGTAGTTCTTCCAGTTGTAGACGACATCGATGTTCCACTGCTCGAAGTTCTTCACCACGTTCGAGGTATTGTTCACTAATGTTGTTCGAAGTTCTCCTCGACTCTTGTTCTTCGGCAACAATGGACCTCATAGACATCATCTCCTGGTAGAGGTTCTGAATAGTTCTACTAGCTTGCTGCTCGGTCATTCTCATTCTCGATGCCTCCTCTTCATATCTCTTTCCGGCTTCTTCTCCTTTGGAACGCACATGAGATGCGACATTCTTCAGAAGTTCACGATGACGTTCAAGTTCCTCGATACGGATGGTAGCTCCCTCTTCTTCCTGTTTCATCTCCTGATATCATGATCAATGCCTCATTGTATTGTCTCTGGGCGATCTCCATCTCGTTGGTCACCAAAACCTCATAGTTCCGATGTTGTTCGTTATAGTGTCCCATCATCTCTGAATATTCCGTCTCGAACCTGTAACGTCTCTCCCGTTCGACGGCTGCCTCAACTTGTGCCCGATGCGAAGCATCAGAGCACAGTCTTGCATTGTCCTGCGCCTTCTTCAACTGTTTCTTCAACTCGTCAACATTGCCGATCTCGACTTCGGAGTCTTCTTGACAGATCCACCTGGCGATCGAGCGGTGAGCGCACGGGACGTACGTCCACGTGTACAAATCTCCGCGCCTGTGGTGCTGGGCATAGAGCATGATCCAGCATCTTCACGATCAGGTAGATCTTCGATCATAGGCTGCTCAGGACTGGATCGCGAAGTTATTCCTCCCTGACCTGCAGGGCCTGCTATCTGGAAAGGATATCCCGCTGCTTGATAGTGACATGTAGTAGGTCTCCTCAATGGCTCACTGCGGCTGATAACCTGTCAATCGGGGTGACCTCGATGGGCGTCGTATAGTTCAAGTAAATACCTGAGAAGAGAGAACGGAAGCCAGCAGAAGTCAGGGCGAAGAGGAAGGAGAAGGGATGGGGGGGGTGGACAGGGAGGGAGGGAGGGAGCAATGTATTGTGCCACACTTGAAGATACGTCCTCCCCACAACCCTTTGGAATATCCCCTGATTCCGCTCTTGGTGCTTCCTCCTCTCTCTGTATCTGCCTATCTCTGACTATTTATTTGAACAAGTGTCCATCCTAACCCAACCTCTGCATTCATGGTTTCTGGATCAATCTGCCTATCTACACACATCTGCGTACATCCTTCCCCCTGCACATCCGTCTTCCCGACAACTTTTGGAGGACATACTCCTCCTTCGGCTGCTAATCCTTCCTCCTCTCTCTGTATCTACTTGTCTCTGATTATTTCTCTGAATGTCTATCCTAAGCCAATACCGAGCACCAAGCTATGTACTGTGCCACACTTCAAGATACGTCCTCAGGACATATTTCCTGCTTCCGTTCTTGGTGCTTCCTCCTCTCTCTGTATCTATTTATCTCTTATCATTTACCCGAACAAGTGTCCATCCTAACGCACGTCTCCATGACTTGTTCGTGGGTCAATCTGCATATGTACAAACATCTGCAGAACATCCTTTCCACACCCTAACGAGCCCGCAGACTGTCCTTGAGGTCTCCCTTCCCCATCACCGATCCACACCCAACCACGCCTCCAATCCCCGTCCCATCCCTCCCCCATCACAAGCCAGACATCCCCCGTCCATGCGTCTCACACGCGTCCCTAATCGCAAACCTGACGTCCCCCATCCATGCGCCTCACACCCTTGCCTTCACACGAGCGTGTGTCCTGCGGATGCCTATACCTCCATGTCCTCCTGCCCTTTCGCGCGTCCCCCTCTCTGTATCTACTTCTCTGACCAAGCTATGTACTGTGCCACACTTGAAGATACGTCCTCCCCACAACCCTCGGAGGACATATTTCGTGCTTCCGCTCTTGGTGCTTCCTCCTTCTCTCTGTATCTATTTATCTCTGATCATTTACCCGAACAAGTGTCCATCCTAACGCACGTCTCCATGACTTGTTCGTGGGTCAATCTGCATATGTACAAACATCTGATCTGCAGAACATCCTTTCCACACCCAACGCCACCAAACGAGCCCGCAGACTGTCTTTTGAGGTCTCCCTTCCCCCCTACAACCCCCAACCGTCCCCGTCCCATCCCAACTGAATCTCCTCGACCTGCCTGCGTCCATACCTGCAAGCCTCCTGGCGATGCAGCCACAAGGGGAGTCGATACCCAACATGGCCTGCGGGTTTTCCGGGCCACGCTACTCTGCAGGTCACAGCCGTTTCGGCCTCCCCCCCCACACCCCCTTCGCAAATCCAACTCTCGCCCAGCCTGCCGGCTTGAGTATCCGCGCAATTTCTGTGGAAGTTTCAAGCAATGAGCAAGTCTCGGACGAAATCGTGATTTTGATGATAGCAGGCGTCAGGTTTCGTGGCAGGCGTGGTACTTTGTGCATGTCGACGGCATGACAAAGTAGCTCTGCGACGCGGCGGGCGCGGCCCGTTTCCTTGAGTATCCGCGCAATTTCTGTGGAAGTTTCAAGCAATGAGGAAGTCTCGGACGAAATCGTGATTTTGATGATAGCAGGCGTCAGATTTCGTGGCAGGCGTGGTACTTTCTGCATGTCGACGGCATGAAAAAGTAGCTCTGCGACGCAGCGGGTGCGGCCCGTTTCCTTGAGTATCCGCGCAATTTCTGTGGAAGTTTCAAGCAATGAGGAAGTCTCGGACGAAATCGTGATTTTGATGATAGCAGGCGTCAGGTTTCGTGGCAGAGGCGTGGTACTTTGTCTCTAGTCCATCCTTGGGACCTTCTTTGCCCAAGTTGGGACCTTCTTTGCCCAAGTTGGCTCTCTTGAAACCATCTCTAGTCTATCCTTCAAACCTCCTTTGCCCAAGTTAGCTCCCTTGAAACCATCTCTAGTCTATCCTTGGGACCTTCTTTGCCCAAGTTGGCTCTCTTGAAACCATCTCTAGTCTATCCCTGGGGCCTTCTTTGCCCAAGTTGGCTCTCTTGAAACCATCTCTAGTCTATCCTTGGGACCTTCTTTGCCCAAGTTAGCTCTTTCGAAACCATCTCTAGTCTATCCTTGGGACCTTCTTTGCCCAAGTTGGCTCCCTTGAAGCCATCTCTAGTCTATCCTTGGGACCTTCTTTGCCCAAGTTGGCCCTCTTGAAACCATCTCTAGTCTGTCCTTGGGACCTTCTTTGCCCAAGTGTGCTTTCTTGAAACCATCTCTAGTCTATCCTTGGGACCTTCCTTGCCCAAGTTGGCTCTCTTGAAACCATCTCTAGTCTATCCTTGGGATCTTCTTTGCCCAAGTTGGCTCCCTTGAAACCATCTCTAGTCTATCCTTGGGACCTCCTTTGCCCAAGTTGGCCCCCTTGAAACCATCTCTAGTCTATCCTTGGGGCCTTCTTTGCCCAAGTTGGCTCTCTTGAAACCATCTCTAGTCTATCCTTGGGACCTTCTTTGCCCAAGATGTTTGGGACCTTCTTTGCCCAAGTTGGCTCTCTTGAAACCATCTCTAGTCTATCCTTGGGACCTTCTTTGCCCAAGTTGGCTCTCTTGAAACCATCTCCAGTCTATCCTTGGGACCTTCTTCCCAAGTTGGCTCTCTTGAAAGCATCTCTAGTCTATTTTTGGGGCCTTCTTTGCCCAAGTTGGCTCTCTTGAAACCATCTAGTCTATCCTTGGGACATTCTGTGGCCAAGTTGGCTCTCTTGAAAGCATCTCTAGTCTATCCTTGGGGCCTTCTTTGCCCAAGAAACCATCTCTAGTCTATCCTTGGGACCTTCTTTGCCCAAGTTGGCTCTCTTGAAACCATCTCTAGTCTATCCTTCAAACCTCCTTTGCCCAAGTTAGCTCCCTTGAAACCATCTCTAGTCTATCCTTGGGACCTTCTTTGCCCAAGTTGGCTCTCTTGAAACCATCTCTAGTCTATCCTTGACCTTCTTTGCCCAAGTTGGCTCTCTTGGAACCATCTCTAGTCTATCCTTGGGACCTTCTTGGCCCAAGATCCTTGGGACCTCCTTTGCCCAAGTTGGCTCTCTTGAAACCATCTCTAGTCTATCCTTGGGACCTTCTTTGCCCAAGTTGGCTCTCTTGAAACCATCTCTAGTCTATCCTTGGGACCTTCTTTGCCCAAGTTAGCTCTCTTGAAACCATCTCTAGTCTATCCTTGACCTTCTTTGCCCAAGTTGGCTCTCTTGAAACCATCGCTAGTCTATCCTTGGGGCCTTCTTTCCCCAAGTTCGCTCTCTTGAAACCATCTCTAGTCTATCCTTGGGGCCTTCTTTGGCCAAGTTGGCTCTCTTGAAAC